TCCCACTCCTAACTCACCGAGGCGCCGCAGCATGATACCGTGGTCTACAGTATCAAAAGCCGCTGAGAGGTCCAAAAGAACAAGGACAGAGGAGTAACCTCTGTCCCGGGCCCTCCAGAGATCATTGACCAACGCGACCAATGCCGTTTCCGTGCTGTGTCCCGGCCTGAAGCCCGACTGGTATGGGTCTAGATAGACTTCTAGAATTCTGAACAGGATGTATTAACCAATTCTGAAGAATATAAATCTATATTAATGTCAATCCTAAAAAAAGAAGAGAAGCTAGTGTGAAGTTTGCCTCACGTCCTTCTGGGTAAGGATTGTTGGCATAAGGAGACATCCGGGATGGGGTGGGGGGGAATCTCACTTATTCTGATGTGCTTTCATGACATGTCATGATCGAAAATAAAGAGTTTTTAATCAACAGAAGGCGCTGCCCGCTTTGCCCAAATCCTATCTTTAGGAATTGAATTGATTACTGCCAACAATCTAGATCAGTGTTTCTCAACCTTGACAATTTTAAGGCATGTGGACTTCAACTCCCAGAATTCCACAGCCAGCATTGCTGGCTGTGGTATTCTGGGAGTTGAAGTCCACATGCCTTAAAATTGTCAAGGTTGAGAAACACTGATCTAGATGGCATCAATTCATATTATCTGACATGTATATTTGAGCTCTTTTATTTACAGGTAAACCTTGACTTGCAAAGGTAATGGAGTCTAATATTTCGGTTATAAAACATGGTGGTTGTTAAGCGGGTCATCATATGTCCAATTTTATGACCTTTTTTTGCAGCAGTCGTAAAGCAAATGCTGTAGTTGTAAGGTGAACACGGTGGTCATTGAGCCAACCCATTTTTCTCTATGGGTAGGTTTTTTTTTTTTGTCAGAAATCAAAACTAAAAACAAGTTTCTGGCAAAACCATAATAAAATATGGTCATGTGACTGTAAATGGGGGGGGGGGGCTGTCAGAACTGGACAAGCTGTCCAACACTGGAAGTTTTTAAGAAGAGACTGGACAGCCATTTGTCTGAAATGGTATGGGGTTTCCTGCCTGAGCAGGGAGTTGGACTAGAAGACCTCCCAGATCCCTGCCAACTGTATTATTAGTATTTTATTTTATTTTATTTTATTTTATTTATTATTATTATTATTATTATTATTATTATTATTACTACTACTACTACTACTACTACTACTACTACTATTGATCATCACACAGTCAGCCAGATGTTCAGACTGGATTTGGCATTTTTGTCTACCTATCGAGTCCTTACCCAGGACCTGGGATAGGCAGATGTGGATGTTTGATGGTATTACAGATATCCAGCGTCCTACCTTCGTCAAGGATCATTCCGGCGGAAAACGTTAACTGATTACCGCTTAAACAGTTACGGTTACCACAAGTTCACCACGAGGTCAACAAAAGGGATTGCACCCAAGGCGCCTATTACTATTGGTACTACCCTTGCTTGCTTTTGCCACAGTCTTTCTATTTCTATTTGTAGGTCTTTGTATTTTGTTATATTCTCCAGATCTTTCTGGTCTGTTCTGCTGTCTCCAGGCACTGCCACGTCCACTATCCAGACTTTTTTTGTCTTTCTTATCGACAATTGTTAAGTCCGGGGTGTTATGTTGCTTGTCTGTTTTTTTTAATCATCATCATCATCATCATCATCATCATCATCATCATCATCATATCAATGACGTAAATCCTGAATGCCACCTCAGTGGAAGTACTAATAATCAATCTTATTTATTTATTTATTTATTTATTTATTTATTTATTAATTAATTTAATTTATATCCCGCCCTTCTCCTTGCGGACTCAGGGCGGCTAACAACCAGATAAAAATGCTAATCCCAAAAAACTACAAATTAAAAACATAATTAAAAACAAATATTAATGATTGGTCTAGTTAGTTTAAAATTACTTTAAAACCCCCATTAAAAATTACCCCAAAAGGAAATATAGCTAAGAGAGACAGAAGGAGGAAGTCAGCATACAGTCAAATTTAGCAGCCGCTGAACTCCATTCTCTTACCAAAAAATAAGTTTTGATCTATACTTTTTTAAAAAAAAAAAAACCAGGTTTAAAGATATATGAATAACCACCTAATAATAATAAAAATATATGAATATCCATCTAATAATATTGTCTGGAGAACAGCAAAATATTTTTCCCGTGGGAATTGAGAATGGAAGTGCACCCTGTTTCAGCTCAAGTAGGTTCACGGATAACTTTTCATCAGATGTAATATGAAAAAAAGAGATCTAATAATAAAACGATATATCTGACAGTAGTAATAGTCATTTCCCCCCCCCCCCAACCTGTCAGGAAATTTTAAGAGAGGGGAAGAATTCAAGGTATTTCAAAGATTTCATGTAAAATGAAAATATGACATATACCTTTTATTTTTACTCTACGCTGTTTGATGGTTAATAATGGAAAACAAAAACCTGAAGTTATTTCAGCTCAGACTTCGCAAGACGTCCCTGTATGAACAATCTATTGGAAACAACAGGTGTGGTTTCATCTTAGGGTTCACAGGCTGCCTACACAGGGCTACAAGTATTTTCTTTCTAATCTCGGCAGTTTCATCAATGTTGACAGATTTTTCTCTTTCAATATTTACGATTTGTAGCTTCCATATTTTTGGGGGAAGAAAAATACATGTACATGCTAATAAAAAGTAAGCATTTTTTTTTAAAAAAATCACCTGATTGTAATAAAGCTTGTGCTCAAGCATAGCAGCTAAGCTCATACTGAGGAGATATATAATCAATTTGGAAATTGTTGCAAGTAGCACACTAATTAAACAAATTAATTTAATTAATTACATGACTGAATGGCTGACAACGACGAGCACATTAATGTTATAAAGTTCATGATCTTATGTTAGATGAAACAAGGAAAGTAGGAACAACAATAGCTAATTCAAGGCTGAATTCAGTATCTCTGACCATGTTTAGTTTTTCTTCTTAATTTCACAGCAAAAAGCTATTTAATTTGTACATCAATGATATTATTAAGGCTTTTGCTAAGGCAGAATTCCGCCTTTTGCTCTTCACCTTATCTCTGTTCTCCTATATATCAATGATGTAGCCATTCCATCTATATCTCATGTGGGCATGCACTGATGCCTCAAAGCACTAATACCATATTGCTCTAAGGAATACCACTTACTCTAAAATGAAGGTTTAATGCTCTCAGGAAAGCACTTTAAAACTCTAATTAGTTGGAATATCAATGGGAGACTTATCAAGTGGGCTAAAACCTGTAAGTACTTAAGTGTTTACATTAAATCTTCCACCTGCTGGACCAGCCAATTGAGTGAGCTTAAATAAGAGCTTAAAGATCATCCTTTCTGATTACCAATGTGCTAGTCAACTTGGTAATAACCATGTCCCAGTAGCAATTAAATTATTTAAAGCTAAAGTTCTGAGCTTGGATGCTGTGTGGTGCTTAGTTGTGTATTTACACAAATGTCTCAAGCTTTGAGGTATTCATGCATCAGAATTAAGATTCATAAATCAGAATTCCTAAAAGTCATAACATGTTTCCCTTACTCAACTTCTAATGCCCTCACACAGCTAGAATTAGGCTGCGTTTCCTTTTTTGTCTTAGTTTCTAGATGAAGCAAATTCTCCAGGGAACATTCTGGGTCCATCTTGATGGATAGGTTCATCTCCTCTCTAAGGAGATAGATAATCACAATCTGATATGCTGCGGTTTTTCTCTTCCAGCAATATCTATCCTTGAATATCAGTGGATTTTGACAGAAAATGTATATGAAATATCTCATAATACCATAAGCATCAAATGACATATTGGAATATCTTAATTTTATTATCTTTCAGATTTGTTTCTATGTGCATCTGATTTTCTTATTTGTACCTCCTGTACTCATATATTCTTTCAAAACATATAATAAAGAAATGAACAAAAACTGATCCTGATTTAACTCATGCGAATAACTTGAAAATGCAAATTATAGGTTACCTATTCTTCTTGGCAATGAACATGCTTTCTCTTGCTCTATATATTTGACTGGCTTATGTGTGTAGTGCATTTTTGAAATGTTCACATTAAAAAAAAGCTAAAAAGAAATGCAGGGTAATAAATAATATCAACCACATAACGGCTAGGAATTAGACAAGAAAATAACCAAACCCAACAAAGAAGGCAAACAAACAATAAAGCAAAATTGGTGCTAATATGAACAAGACAGCAGCCAAATAGATCTCCCACAATAAAGCTTTAGAAAATCTGGGCATGGTATCAAAAGAAGATTGTGCCATGAGTTTTGCCATATTGATCGACTAACTGACTATGTGATGTCAGGTTGGTGTTGACTCTTAGTGACCACTTACATTTTCTCCATGATAATCTAACCCAGTGGTTCTCAACCTTTTTAATGCTGCGACCCCAACCGGTCGTAAGTCGAGGACTAAACCGGTCATAAGTCGAGGACTAAACCGGTCGTAAGTCGAGGACTACCCAACCGGTCGTAAGTCGAGGACTTTCCCTGCCCGGGAGCGCCGCGCATGCGTGGTTCCGCCCCCTGCGCCGGCCAAGGTGTAGCTGGCAAGCGGCAGAGACGGAGCAGGCCGACCACCAGCTGGCCCAGCCCAAGGGAGGTAAGGCACCCGCCGGAAAAGGGGGAAAAAATGGCGGACAAAACAAATGGCGGACAAAAAAAATGGCAGATAGCCTTGCTTGGCGACCCCCGTGAAATGGTCGATCGACCCCAAATGGGGTCCCGACCCACAGGTTGAGAACCACTGATCTAACCTGATTCTTTGATAAAGTGACTAAATTAATAGATCAGCGAAATGCTGTGGACGTAGTATACTTAATTTCAGTAAGGCATTTGACAAACTAGACCACAACCTACTTCTTGGTAAGCTAGAAAGAGGCGGAATAGATGGATTTGTAGCTGGCTGACAAACCGTACTCAATGAATAGTCCTAAATGGTACTATATCCACATGGAGAGAAGTAAGTAGTGGAGTACCACACAAGGCTTGGTACTCTTCAATGTCTTCATAAATGACTTAGATGAGGGAATAGAAGGGAACCCATCAAATTTCCAGATGATACCAAACTGACAGGAATAGCCAACAACCCAGAAGACAAGCTCAGGAACCAAAAAGATCTTGACAAACTTGAACAATGTGTCCTATCTAACAAAATGTACTTTAATGTGGAAAAAAGCAAAGTTTTACATTTAGGCAGGAAAAATCAAAAGGTGTAAGTACAGGTTAGGCCAGGGGTGGCGAACCTATGGCACGGGTGCCAGAGGCAGCACTCAGAGCCCTCTCTTCAGATGGGTTTTATAAAACCTTTTCGCTTTAGGCCTCCGCTGCCATGTGCAAAAAAAAAAAGAAGGTTCAATCAGTCAATTTCAACTTCTTGCGGGAAAAAAAAGATCTTGCAAAGTTGGAATTGATTGATTGAACTTTTTAGTCCCACCCAGTCTGCCGTTACCACTGCAGCCACGCCCACCCAATGGGCCACACCCACCCAATAGGCCACACCCATCTGGCACCCGACGATGCATAAGTGGGTTTTGGGTTGCAGTTTGGGCACTCAGTTTCTAAAAGGTTCACCATCACTGGGTTAGGCGAAACCTGGTTCAAAAACAGTAACTGTGAGAGAGATCTTGGAGTCCTAGTGGATGATCATTTGAATATGAGCCAGCAGTGTGCAGCAGCAGCAGCCAAAAAAGTTAATACAATTCTGGGTTATATAAACAGAAGACTCAAGATCACGAGAAGTATCAGTACCTCTTTATGAAACCCTAGTAAGACCACACCTGGAATACTGCAACCAATTTTGTTCACCATACTACAAAAACAATGTTCAGACTTTGGAAAAAATTCAGAGAAGAGCAACTAAGATGATCAAAGACCTTGAGACTAAAACATATGAAGAACGGCTGCAGGACTTGGGTTTGGCTAGTCTAAAGAAAAGAAGAAATAGGGGAGACATGATAGCAGTATTCCAGTATTTGAGGGGCTGCCACAAAGAAGAGGGGGTCAAATTATTCTCCAAAGCACCAGAAAGCAGGACAAGAAACAATGGTTGGAAACTGGTCAAAAAGAGAAGCAACCTGGAATTAAGGAGAAATTTCCTAACAGTGAGGACAATTAACCTGTGGAACAGCTTGCCTTCAGAAATTGTGGGCGCTCCATCACTGGAGATTTTAAAGAAGAGACTAGACAGTCACTTGTCTGAAATGGTATAGGTTCTCCTGCTTGAGCAGGGGGCTGGACGAAGACCTCCATGGTCCCTTCCAGCTCTATTCTATTCTGTTCTGTTCCTTCAGATCTTGCGCAACAGTGCATCCAT